CTCTTTAGAAACAACAGCAATGGTTAAAACACAATGATGTTTCATTGGTAATGCACAATGCAGCGCACTACTGACCACAACAAAGGCCAAGGTAGCAGATGTATGCCCCTGGGAAGTCATTAATAAAAAAGGTCCACTGTCAACTGCTGTCACGATAGAACTAAGTCTATATGAGAATTTACATAACTTACTAATTTTAGTGCTATTGCAGTACAACAGTGCTATTCCACCACTGGTACAGATGCATTTCAGTATCTAAACAATTGAGACAGCCATGCTGGCATCTATCAGTTAAAAACTTTTAAAGTGTTGGCTGTTTTGGGGCCAATGTTGTTGTTTAAACTTCATTCAATCACAAATGAATTTGTGCATCTTTGTATTTCTCCCCTCTTAATTTGCTCATTTTTAGATTTGTTTTTAAAGATTTATTTATGCATACAGAACTGGGGTACAGGCCAGAGGGGCAGGGGCGGTGAGGGGATTCACCAGAGACAGAGTGGGGAGCAGAACTGGCAGATCAGTGAGGCACACTGCTGAGGGGAACAGCTGGTGGGTCAGGAGAGGTCTGCCTCACCACGTGGGTCACCTCTGGGGAGAATTCATGCTGAAGTGGATTTAGCTTTTTAGTGCTGCATTTACTGACTATGCCACCAAGGAGGGCCTGATTTGCTCATTTTTATCTCTTATCCATATCCATTTATAATTAACATCAATATTCTTTCAGTATTATACAGTAGATGATTGCCCATACCTAATCTTTAACCATCTTAAATGTTAACTTTCAAATGTTTTTCTATTAAGGCAATTAGTTCTTTGTCTACATTCTTACAAACATTTCCCCCCAATTTGAGGTTTACTTTTCCCAACAAAATTAATTTTGTTGACATACAGGTTTCTTAATCGCTTCCTTTTATGGCTTTTGTGTTTTATGTCTTGCTTTGAAAGCCTTATCTTCTCAAATATGTATAAAATGTTTATTATGACCTAACAAGTGAGATACTGATCCAACTTTTTTTCATACTCTCCAAATGCTTGTTTAAAACACCAACTCACTTGTTTTCATCAGTCCAAGTAAGGCAGATATTGTAATTTGTTTTATAAATGAAAAGATGGCTATGGCATAGTATATAACACAAAGTAAGATGCAAAATGGAAATTTAACTGTTAAGTGGGTAACCTATTTAAAAACAATTTAAAAAATGATTAATGTTGCAAAATTACATACATATAAACAAGTACATAAAACATAAAGCTTAATTATTAAAAAGTAAATACCCATGAAAAAAATGTTCCTTGTGACTCCAAATAAAACCCTGCCCCCTTCCAGCTTATCCCTACGATTTCAATTTAAGCATTATTGCCTCAGGGAAGGCTTATTCTCATCTAATTCCTCCACTTACTAAATTTATTAACACAGTATGCATTTTTGGGGTTGCAACTGTCTTATGGTTTGTAATTAACTGGCAATAGCTCCCAAAAATTCTGGTTCAAAGTTAGGGTGAGCGTGTGCAGGATGTAGTAATACTGAATATCTGAATCCAGCACAGTACCTGATGCACAGAAGAAAGTCAATGAACACTTAAAAGTATCTATTACCTTTTCTCATTCAGGGTATCCAATTACATGCCGTTTTTTTCTGTTTCATTCTTGGGACCATGTTTCCTTTGAAAGTAAATTTGTACTAAGCAAAAAAGATTTTTCTAAGTTTCATTTGGCAAAGAAGATTAAATATGAAGAACTTAGCACCTAGGGCCATCACTATGAACAAGAGTATTTTTATTGTTTTCTGTGAAGGGGATACAATTCTCATAGAGAGGAATTCTGTAGAAGGATCACAAAACATATGGGTTGTTCCATTATCAACTGGTGCTTACTAGTTAATAGTAAACAAAGTAATACTTTACACAGTAACCATTCAACAAAAGTGGGATCATTATAAAACTTAGCAAAAACAGAATTATTTATCAACAAGTGTTTACTATGTGAATAGCAACAATCCAATCCACTTTTCTCTTTTTCTCCTTACCACCAGATGACAAATTTCTCTCAACCATTCTGTGTAATTTCACTTGATCTTGTGTAAGTACTCTGTAAGTTTTATTTGCCTATCTGGTTTTTAATAAAAATCACTCAGTGCCAACTATTATAGAAAGCCAAGGCTTCAGGGCCCTCCCTGGTGGCAAAAGGGGTTAGAGTGCTGCACTGCAAAGCTACAAACTGTGGCCACTTCACTGCAAATTCAATACCCTCCCTCCCACCCCCCAGGAGATACACATGGCACAGCAGACCTCTCCTGACTTACCCACTGTTTCCCCTCAGCAGTATACTTTGTTGTTCTGCCTGTTCTGCTCTCCACTCTGTTTCTGTTGAATCCTCCAGCCACCGGTGTACCTCTAGCCTATACCCTATTTCTGTATGCGTAAATAAAACATTAAAAAAAAAATCAAAAAGGCTTCAATTCTAACCTAATTATATTACATGTGTTAACAAAAATATTTTAAGTAGGAGTGCTTACTTCTGAACATATTAACTTTATGTGCTCTAATTACAAGTTAGATTAAAAATAATTTATAGAATTATTTTTTCATGTTGATACCAAGCTCAAAAAAGTCTCAGTGACTGCATTATTGTATCAGTGAACTGTTCAGAGAGATGCTGGAAGAACTTTTTTCAAGCACTTACAAACTATAACTATCTTCAAAGTAAAAGCCTGTGGTTATCTTGCTAAATACTTGGAAAGCTGTACCACAGTAACCACCAATACAAAATGTAAAATAGGGACTTATTTTACAAATACTACCTTAATCATCCTGACTTTCCCTAAATTAACCTCCAAATTGTACCCTCTAAATGAAGCACCAAATTGTACCCCCAATATAATCAAAAGAATATCAAATGAGACACTTAACAATTTCACATTTCTACAGGGAAATTAAAAATGTAATATAAGGGTTCACTCAAACTATGAGAGTAAAAAAAAAACACTACCACCTTGTTATTTGACTATCAGAGTACAGAACTGCTGAGGGTGATTTTTAGTTCTATTAAGACCTAATTCAGGTCCCTCCCTGGTGGCCCTGTGGGTTAAAGCATAGCACTATGAAGCTGGCCATAGCCCTTTCAGCACCAGTTCAATCCCTGATCCCTGGTCAGGGAGCTGACACACACGGTGCAGCAAAACCTCTCCTGTCTCACCCACTGCTCCCCTCAGCAGTGTATTTCAGTAGATACACCTGTTCTGCTCCCCACTGTGTCTCTGGTGAATCCTCTCATACTCCCAGCACCTCTGGCCTGTACACCAGTTCTTGTATGCATAAATAAATAATCTTTAAAAAAAAATCAAGGACTCAAGAAATAAAAAAATTCAAAGAGAAGACACTGTATACTCAGCTTACCATTATTAACTTTAGCAGAAATGTATCTTGTACACATTTATTGATCAAATTTTCTAGCAGACAATCTACTTTGCACATCAGCACATGAAAATGCTGGCTGAACTTAATTATAAACTGTATTTATATCTGCCCTAAACCCAGCAATTTCCAGCATTAAATGTTATTTTAAAATCTCCTTTAGGACACAAATACTTCATATTACTTTACATCGTTAGAAATAAACATAATCTATATAAACAAATTTTTCATTTATGTCTTAAAGAAATGATAGCTTAAAAAGGTTGAACTTGGCCCTCCCTGGTGGCACAGTGGGTTAAAGCACAGCACTAAGAAGCTTAAGCCACTTCCGCAAGAGTTCAATCCCTGCCTGCCCTAGAGGTGATCACATGGCGTGGCAGACCTGGATCCGCCTGCTGCTTCCCTCATCAGTGTACTTCGTTGATCTGCCTGTTCTGCTCCCCACTCTGTCCCTGGTGAATTCTCTCACCCTCCGCATCTCTGGCCTGTATCCCAGTTCTGTGTGAATAAATAAATAAATCTAAAAAAAAATAAAAGAAAAAAAAAGTTGAACTATGTTTTGACTGAGTTTGTCCTCAAATGTCTTGTTTAGTAACACTCTACCCCTAGTACTAATCTCCAAGTTTGGGGAAGATTCCCAGATCAATACTATGAACATCACATATAATTATCCATAGTAATGAAGTACTGACCTGATGTATCACAAGTGTTCATTTTATAGCGGCTGCTTTTATAGTTATAAATGCTTTCTAACGGCTTCATATTACTTTAGGTTTTAGAAGTTTGATCACTCTGCTGTTTCTAATCTATCCTCCAAAAGCAGCATATATAATTTTCCACATTTTCCTGATTCATAAGTTGCTCCAGGGCCCTACCTGGTGGTACAATGAGTTCAAGACCAGCACTGGGAAGCTGGCCTTAGCCACTTCAGTGTGAGTTTGATCCCTAGCCAAGGAGGTGGCCCACATGGCAAAGTAGACCTTTCCTGACTTGCCTGCTGCTCTCTTCAGCAGTGTACTTCATCAGTCTGCCTGTTCTGCTCCCCACTTTGTCTCTGCTGAGTTCTCTCACCCACCCCCTTCACCTCTGGCCTGTGCCCCAGTTCTATATGCATAAATAACTAAGTCTTTAAAAATAAGTTACTCCATATTTCAGAAGTTTTAGGTTTTTCTTTCTTTTGTTGTAGAGAGAGAAAAAAAGAAAAAGAAAAAGGAACTTCCTTGATAACTTGCTAATTTGTAGATCTGTTTCAGAGTTGCTGGATATTTCCTGACGAATAAGGTAGTTAAAGGATACATACCAAAAGATGCCTGTGTTATCATACTGCAGAAAATAATTAACTTTTCCAGTTGAGATCAGAAAGGATAACAGAATAATTTGCTAACAACAGGCATTTGTTATTTTATAGACATAAATATTTTATCTACGTTACAAAGTAATATTTATTAAAGCTAAGTCTAGACTCTGAAATTATTTGCAACAAAAATTTCTTAACATTTCCCTTAGCAAATATTGCATATTTGTTAAAGTATCAAATAACTGTTATAATATCAAGGAGTTCAGGACAAGATGTTATAAAACAAAACACACAGCTGGGAAGCATTTTATTGTTTTTCTACTTCAGACAACATTGTTTAGGACCACAAGATTTTTAGAGGTCTCTTTTCCAGCAACTTTTGTGATTTAGGGAGTGCCATTTAGTAATATTTAATGTTGCTATAAACAGTATCATTTTTCTACATATTGACAATTCTAATGAATGCCATATCCATTTATACCTCTTGCTCCTTTGGCCAGAAAGATAAACAGAAAATTCAGATCATATGTTTAGACATTCAAATATAGTTTTTAAAAGCATACCCAAGCAAATAAAATTGATATCAGCAACTATTAAAATTAGTTTTAGTAGTTATTATTAAGATTAACAAGGACATACTGAAGCATGTATGAGATTTAAAAATTATATACAATTTAAAAAACAAATTTAAATTTATAAATAAAGATTAATGGCCAAATTAAAGTTTAAGGATTAGATTTAAAATATCTTATTTTTTAGGCTAGTCAGAAATATATCCTGTGAATAAGAATTACTTCATAAATATATATGTATAAATATAAATATATATCTACAGGATCTGCAATGCAGGAAAAAACCCATTAAAGAAAAAAATTGCACTTTTAGATTATTAGGATGTTTTGTCATATTTACCCTTCAAGTGAAATATATAACCACACCAGGTGCTTTTGGCACATGAATTTAGGTGAATATTGACACAATCTTAAAAACACAATGATTTTATATTTTATTCACTGGAATATGAAGAAGAATCAAACAGAATTTTGAATTCTGACCAAAAAAAAAAAAAAAATCCAGGTGACTGTAATTACTTAATTACATACAAAAAAAAATGTTTTATAAAGACTTTAAACCACTTTTACCTCTGAAACATGTAGTTTTACTAGCAACAGGTTTTTTTCCAGTCCCCTCGGCAAGAATCCCCGTCTACACACAAACACTGTCTTTCTATTCATAGGTCACTTAGATCAAACCCCAGTATATAAGGACAAAAAATAAATGTATAATAAAAAGATTGGATAAATCAGAAGAGGCTTTTTGGTCTTGAATTCTTCACCCACTAATAATGAAGCAGCACTGTACGCAGCCCAAAATACACCAAACAGCTTTAAAAAACAAACAAAAGAGACAAAAAATATTATATTAGCAAATCAATTAACATTTTGGGAACCACAGAATAAAAAGAATGGTCAGAGTAGTACTTTTAATACAAGATACCAATTGTGGTAAACAGTAAAAGTGACTAAGAACGACTTTTGCAAATGGCGTCTTTCATTCTCAAACTTGTCTATTCATAAGAATCACATGTTGAAGAGAGAATTGAGAATTATGGCATTGATTTTAAACCTCTAAGGGATGAGTCTAGTTATCTTTTTTTTACAAGTATTCCTGGTGATTTCAGATTAGGCAATTTTGTGTAAAACTATTACTGAGTCAAATTTCTGAAAGAAATGATTGTGTTGGATGAAAACTGACTTGTTGCAAAGCAGAATCTTTTCCTTCAAAAAAGTAAAAATACAGATTAAGTGAAATGTCACAAATATCTAGAAAATATCACAGCAATTTCCTAGGCACAGGTTAAATAAAAAAGGAAGAAAAAATTAATTTTGGTCAAGAGTTTAATTAAATAATTTAATTAATTGACACCTATTTGTAAATTATTTTCACTGAAAATTTATGTGGAATTTATTGATGTAATTACTGAAGGCATTTTGCAGAAGAAAATTAAAAACAAGAAGTTTCAAGGGTAGAAATCAAGGAAACTATGACAAAAACAGTCTTGTCATGGAGCAGTCTGTTTCTCAACCTCCCACTATGACCTTTTAGGACTAGATAACTCTTTGTTGTGGGAAACTGTCCTATGCACTGCAGAATGTTTGTAGTAACCTTGCCCTCTACCCATTATGTACTCATAACATTTCGCCTTCCTGAAACACTGAAATGTTTCCAGACATTACTAAACATCCTCAGGAGGCAAAAGCATCCTTATCTGAGAACCACTGGTACAGAGGTTAAAAAAAAATAAATATGAGCAGGCTGAAAATGTTTTTGAGATGGTCCCACTCTACTGTACTTTCAATACTAAAAAACAAAAGCCTACAAAGTATTTTAAATCTACAGAAAAGTAAAGGGAAATACATAAAACAAAAAATAATCAAATTGCATTTGCGTGTCATGATTAAATTTTGTTCCAAACAAATGGCTGAAGAATTGAGAGTTACAGACGTAATGTTTAAAAAAATTGACTGGAGCCCTCCCTGGTGTCACAATGGGTTGAGGCACAGCACTATGAAGCTCCCACATAGCTCTGGGGCTACAAGTTTGATCCCTGGCCAAGGGGGTGACCCACATGGCTAGCAGACCTCTCCTGATCCACCTACTGCTTCCTTGAGCAATGTACTTCAGTACATCTACATATTCTGCTCCCTACTCTGTTTGTGGTGAATTCTCTTAACTCCTGCACATCTGGCCTGTATCCCAGTTCTCTATGTATAAATAAACAAAATCCTAAAAAATATTTAGTGATTGTAGATTAAAAGCTATTCTAATGCTTTAATAACAGCTTTCAATGTTTGACAAATCTTAAACTGAAATAACACACAAATACAATAGCTCATTCAGTCTGAGAAGAAGATTAAGTGAATAGGAGAAAAATTTTGGCAAAGAAAAATCTGAAGTTTAAGAATAACTTTTTTCCTAAATTTTAAATGATAAAAGATTTTCCACTTCACAATATACTAATAAGCTGCATAAAGAATATTAAGAACAAGGTTTCAGCTGAACTCTTGGCTAAAACTCACGATAGGACATGGCTTTAGCAATTCTGCGAGTAGTTTGAGAAGAACACAAACAAGTCTTACCCTAAGTAAAACAATACACATGCAGTGATTGATCCTGATGACTAGTACATTAAAGCTAGGTAATTAAATGCCACCATGGGGCTAGCTCCTGCATGACTGGACTGTTAAAGTCAGTACTAATAATGCTAAGATTTTATGATTAGATTTTAGGAAAAGACTTTCTTAAGTTTTCTATAATATAATTACCACCGAATGCCTACTCTATGCCAAGCACTGTCCTAGGCATCATATATATATATATATATATAT